CTATAATATTTGTTTAAACCCCCCCCCCTATCCCTGCCTGTACTAATATTTGTGCTATTAATAATTATGAGAATCATATAATTTAAATAATATATAATGTTAAAATTAATAATTGTATAATGATACATGATTAAAATTGAATTTTTCAATAAATTTTTCTTATTATACAAAAGTATGATCAGGGAAGTGTATGTGCTCAATTACTGACGATGCCCCTGACGACAAGCTTTACAAGAGCTCAGTTAGGTAGATTTTTGAAACCCGTCCCAACCAATCAAATTTTTCAAACAAAGTATTGGACTTATGTCCGAAAAATAAATTATATAATACTAGTTGCCCAGGGCACTCATAGTTACACTGCCGTTTACCCGCACTTGGTCGATTTTACTGGGAAAATAAATTTTCGCTATAAAAGTCAACCCTCTCAACTAAGAATCTCAAAATCAAGCTAAGAACATTCATGTTGCTCTCCCAAGTTCCCCAATAAAAATTTGAGGCAAATCGGTCAAGGGGTTCCTAAGTTTTTGAATCGGACAAAAAACAAACAGAGATTACAAATTTATATTGATGCATGCACACAGTTTGTAATAAACTTATTAGTTCAAAATATACAAAAAATTTAATTTAAAGAAAAATATAATTCTTATTAACTTTTCACAAGTTCCATTTCGTCAAAAAAAATGTATTATATGACAAAATGGTTATTAATAAACTTTTTATAACAAATAGATTGATAGAATTTTAGTAAGATTTGTTTTTAGATTCTTCCCTAGTTGCAAAGGGACCTTTAGAGACAATTATCAGTATACTAGAAAAGGAGGGCTTACAAGGGCTTTACAGGTTTTAATATGTTTTTTTTGACATACAGTCATCGTCATATACATTAATACAATGAAGACGACTTTTGAGTTAACATTTTTGTTTCTTCCAAGCTTTCAAACAGTTTATTATACAAATAAATATGGGAACAAAGAGACTTGTAATTTGAAAACAATTTATAAATCAAAACTTAAATAGAAAATGCGTCTTCATTGTATTAATGTAAACGCCGACTACTGTACATATTCTCAATAGTATGTAGAGTGTACACACCATAAACAAACATAATAGATGTATTTATGTATTCATAAATGTGTTTAAATAATCCTATAGTTGGACTCAAAACTTCTAATCCGCAATTAAGGATGTAGTGCAAGGAAAGTTATTTCAGAAGTGTACGCATCTTTTGTACTGCAGTGTACTGTCTCTGGGCGGTAATGTAAACACAAGACGGATCTTACAGCCTGACATGGGATCCATCTTTCACATAAGAAATCAATGAAATATTCTGGTCATAGAAAACTATTATGTGAATTATCAAAATTATCAAATTTAATGCGTTTAACCTCCTTGGATACTAAACGAACACTGATGCATCTATTCTTGTTTACAAATTCCGCCCAAAGAGAACTGGTTTCAATATGTACGCAGAGTATACGCAACTGCAATTAACTTTCCTTGCATTACACCCTGGCTAATCCGTAGCATTACAAGGTATTTCAAACCAAAAATTTTGCAAGATTTTAAAGTCAAAGTTTGAGATATCATAACAACACCAACTTGGACTACTATATTTAGTTCTAATTACATAAATTATAAAAATAATTTGTTTTGCTCTATTAAAAATGTGCAGTGTCTAATTTTGTATATTTCTATAGAGGATATGATGTCAAATGCAAAAGTGCAGCAATGTCTAATTTTGTATATTTCTATAGGGGATGTGAGGTCACATGTAAAAGTGTAGCAGTGTCTAATTTTGTATATTTCTATAGGGGATGTGAGGTCACATGTAAAAGTGTAGCAGTCTCTAATTTTGTCTATTTCTACTTGTTCCATGGCCTTAAAAACCAGTTATCAACGGGGCCTCAAACACCATTAAAGGATCTTCTTATTGCTTGTATCGCAGGTTAGTAAATAATTGTATGCACTTTACGTTTTATTGATAACTAACTTGGAAACCCAGTTTTCACTGGTAACTAAACTGAAAGTGAATTTCTACACTCAGCTAAGAACAGTCCCGTGGTTCTAAATAAAAATTTGAGGTAAATCGAACATTGGGTTCCTGAGTTATGAGCGGACATAGAAACAAACAAACAGAGATTGCTACTTTATATAGATATTTGCTTTCGAACCCAGCTTTGCCCAGTCATAGTTAGTCCCACCGTTTACCCGCCCTTTGTCGTAAATTAAGATTTTAGTTATTTTTCCTGTTCAAAGTAGATCCACTTAACTTAGAATCTCAAACAGACATACAGTGATTACAACTTTATATATGTATAGATATTGAAAAAGAATAAGAATAATAATTTAAATGATAAAATAACAATAATAATTATAGAAATTGAAACAGTTTTTATAATAATAATAATAATAATGTTAATGATTATAAAAATAATAATAATAATAATAATAATAATTATAATGATAACAATAATTATAATGATAACAATAATTTAAAATTCGGTGATGGTGATGGACCAAACCACTGTAGAGTAAAAAAAGTAGATTTTAGTTCCATATTTATTGAAAATATATTTCAGTCTGGGTTGACCCTTGTCAGTTCTAACGATATAATAACCATTAAAATCCATAAAAAAAATGTTAAAAACCAGATGAAAATAAACAAACAAAAAGATTATTTAAAAAACTCAGATCATGAGATGGAAAAAAGATAATTTGCAACTATTCACTTCTAAAAAATGTTTTTTAAGACAATTATTATTCCTTGAGATTGTTTCTGTCACGAAGATTAAAAACAAACTGTTTAGATAACTGTTTAACAATAGTAATAATTAATAATATTGCAGGAAGCTTGAATGTTCTAACAACAAATCCTCTATGGGTTGTAAGCACTAGGAAAATCAATTAATTCAATTGAAAAATATAAAAAAATATGAAAAATATGAAATATGGACAAATATTGACAAATGGAGAAAATTATCAGACGTCAAAACTTTTAGACTTTAGGATTTAAATTTTTTTTAGAGAATAATAAAAGAAGCGATTTAGTTTAAATCTCAATGGAAGAGAAACTACGTATTGCTTGAGGAACGGATCAAGCATTCAAAAGTTCGGACCTGAGAAAGGATAGAAATATTCCTATAGTATATATTCGGTTGTGTATACACTGTAAAATCATTTTTAAATTTTAATTCTGTTGAAGTTTTAAAAAAGTTTTTGATGTAAATATGGTATTTATTGATTAAAATGAAGGCTGAAAATGGCAGGAATTAACGAGGATAATCCAAGGTTTGAAAATTAAAATCTAATTTTTAAAACGTCAAAGCAAGCGATTAATTTTGGACCCCCGGCCACCCGATAGGCTATAGTCATATTTTTCGGCTATAAAAAGTTTTGTCTAACTTAATTAAATAATTTAAAAAAAACTGACCAAGTGTAGTGGGATGATCGTAGCAGTTGACGTTTGGTAACAGTTGACCAAATGTATGGTGGACCAAATGTAAAATTGACGAAATGTAAGATGACCAAATGTAAATTGACGTAATGTATCCACTCCGAACACGGTCACACGACATCCCTAAGCGAGGGAAGGCACACGCACACCACACAATTATTTCGACCGCACCACAAATGACGTCACACTCATAACTCACCGTTATATCTTCCGACCACACCTTTTTTCGTCCTGGTATTGATTCTGTGCTTGAAATGTATTTTATATGCTTTTAAACATTTTTTTGATTAGGCAACGTCATGTTATTCAATATGAGTTGATTTTGTGTTTCAAATACATTTTGTTTGGAAAAAGCCCAACTTTGTATTTGTGGCTCACCTCACTTTGTATTTGTGGCTCACCTCACCTTGTATTTGTGGCTCACCTCACTTTTCTGTTTTTCTTTCTTTCTTATTTTACTCCTAAACTGCAACTTCAAGGTTATATTGGACTGGGAGTTTTAGAATCTACAACTAAAAATTAACATTTTTTTGGTTTAAAGGATTGTTCCTAGGTATAAGGAATTGTTCCTAGGTATAAGAGATTGTTCCTAGGTATAAGGGATTGTTCCTAGGTATAAGGGATTGTTCCTAGGTATAAGGGATTGTTTCTAGGTATAAGGGATTGTTCCTAGGTATAAGGGATTGTTCCTAGGTATAAGGGATTGTTGGATGGGATTAGACAAATATCAAGAAAAGAAGGATTAGGAGCATTGTGGAATGGAACTAAGGTTGGGAAATCTTACAGTGATGACCAGAAAACTCTGAAGTAGAAAGACGACTTTTTGACTCAAGTTATGACTTTAAATAGTTCAATAAGCATGGGTCACATCAATTGTGCAGTGTTTAAACAGACCCATTTCACTTAATCAATTTGTTTTGTAACAACATCAAATAGGCTTAAGTATTGCACTAAAGTCGTCTTCCTATTTCAGAGTTTTCTGGTTATCACTGTATCTAATAAAAAAATCAATCATTCATCATGTATATTAAAATTTTTATATCCCATGTAAAGCCCATATCAATATGTTTGAAATATAGGAATAAAAACCTTCTCGAAGACGATTAAATATACTAATGGAAAAGTACATACTCAAAATCAAGTCAGGATCGACAATAAACTGGCTCAAAACCAGTCGGGAAATAAAGTGGGTCGGGATGAGACAGGGAAATAATGTGGTCATTATTAGGGACAAATACAGGTCTCGACATCAGTTGATAAATAAAAATCCCGTCTCAATAACAAAATATCCCGTTTAAACCCCTAAGGTACAGGGTTGCCAACATAATCTTTCAAAACTGGGGAAAGAGACCATTTATTCTTAAATATTAAAAACATACAGTGGATGGGCATTTTTCGTAGGTCAGATGGGCATATTTCGTAGGTTGGATGGGCATATTTCGTAGGTCGGATGGGCATTTTTCGTAGGTCGGATGGGCATTTTTCGTAGGTCGGATGGACATTTTTTGTAGGGGGGACGAGCGCTTCGGCCATGAAAGACCTATAATTTAACAATTTTTAATAAAATTTGAATATACATTTATAGTAGGTTAGGTTAATCATTTCTGGGCCGAGCGCTGCAGGCTATGACTGGCTATGAGGCCGAGCGCTGCGGCCATGAAAGACCTTTAATTCAACAGTTTTTTATATAATTATAGTGTATATTTAGGGTTAGGTAGGTTAAGCTCATTCTGGGCCGAGCGCTGCGACTAGGACGGGCTAGGGGGCCGAGCGCTGCGGCCACGGGTTAGGTTAGTTAAGACACTTTCTGGGCCGAGCGCTGCGGCTAGGATGGGCTAGGGGGCCGCGCGCTGCGGCCACGGGTTAGGTTAGTTAAGACACTTTCTGGGCCGAGCGCTGCGGCTAGGACATGCTAGGGGGCCGAGCGCTGCGGCCACATGTCTTGGCCGACCTACGAAAAATGCCCATCCGATGTCTACGAAAAATGCCCATCCGACCAACGAATAGTGCCCATCTGCCCATCCGACCTACGAAAAATGCCCATCCGACCTACGAAAAGTGCTCATCCGACCTACGAAAAATGCCCATCCGACCTACGAAAAGTGCCCATCCGATCCTACGAAAAATGCCCATCCGACCTACGAAAAATGCCCATCCGACCTACGAAAAATGCCCATCCGACCTACGAAAAATGCCCATCTGACCTACGAAAAAGGCCCATATCAGACGTACTAACGTGTCCAAGCGACAGCTTAAAGTATAGGTCGGATGCACCAATATGCTGTTTTTAACGTGCCCATCCGACCTACAGTGCATCGGACCTACCACAGCTGTTAAAACCACGTGCTTGTAGGTCGGATGGGCTGTAGAGGGGATGGACGTAGGTCCAAAAATACACCATCGTAAATTGACCATCGTAAAAGTCGTCTTTGACTTTAGAAATAGTTTGTGGCGTTCAACATCGGAAACCTAATTATAGCAATATTTCTTTATAAAACAATAATCACAGAATAGCACAATAAAAATTTAGTGTAAATTTCAATTGATTAAATAAAACCATGAAAATGTCTAATTCTGAACGAAATCTTTCATGTCTCCGGTAATTGTGAAAGCACAAAAATGGTAGACCACATTTTGGAAATAGCAGGATGGCATCTCGGCCGCATTGACATGTTTGGACGGAGGTCACCTAAAATTACGCTTACAACCCATTTAAGGGATCCCTACATCTGTACACTTTGTACACTTGTCTCTTTCTTTGACCTTTGTCAACTTATTTACTTAGCATGGCTAAAGCTAGAAAAGGCTGAAGACCAAAGTCCAAATATTCAGATCGTATTAATTCAAAGATTTTAGGTTTTCATTAAAGTCTTATCCTTTGTGTATAACCCTAGACACATAAATGTTATTACAAACATTTGACTTGTTTAGACCTCCCTGCTGTTGGTGTCTAATCTTGTTTAGGCCTCCCTGCTGTTGGTATCTAATCTTGTTTAGGCCTCCCTGCTGTTGGTTTCTAATCTTGTTTAGTCCTCCCTGCTGTTGGTATCTAATCTTGTTTAGGCCTCCCTGCTGTTGGTTTCTAATCCTGCAATAAAGTTCACTGTCTACGAACTTCTTAAACGAAAATTTTTCAAGGTAAAAACAAGGCAGAAATATTCTTACTTACGCATTGTTCCAAAGGTTGTGAACTCTCTTGAAAAATCATTTTGCAAACATCTTCTTAAAAACTCGTGCTTAAAAACAAGTACTTAATCCAATTTATGCACCCAGATTTCACCCAGTTGGTGACTGAAGTTCAAGTGACTTGGTAAAAATGGGATTCAAAAAGTTGAGTTTAAGTCGAGTTTATGCGCCCAGATTTCACCCAGTTGGTGAATGGAATTCAAAAGTGGAGTTAAAGTCGAGTTTAAGTGGAGTTTTGAAGTGGATATTTGAAATCCAAGTTTTTACCATGACTGGGTAAAAACTGGGATTCAAAAAGTCGATATAGTTATAAAAGGTTAAAGGTAAAATCAAAGGCCACTAATGCACCTAATCATTAAAATTTATCGGGGGAGGCATAGTTATTAGCTTTAACACCCAATATCACATCAGCTATCACTTTTTATTTCAAACTTATGTATGTATATTGTAAAGAAAATTAATATAGAACGGATTTTATGCAACTTGAATTTAAGTCTGTAGATCACTGTGATCTTAATCTAGAGTCCGAATTTAATGAATTTGATCCGCATCTTAAATCCACAAATAACAGGTTTCAATTGAGCGACGGCTCAAACTCAGTAATTGTACATCGTGGAAATTTTTTATATGTCTCAAATGAATCCTAAAGAATTTTTACACAACACTCCATACTCAGTTTAACTACCTTACATAGCCGGTCTGTCCCTTTAAATCTTGAAACATTGAATTCAATTGTAAGTGGAACCAACCATATTTGAGCCGCGGCTCCAATTCTTTAAATTCGCTCTCAGGGTACATTTGTTGCATAAAACGTGCTGGGTCGACTCTACATCTTGGTAGCCATGACTGGATTGTACAACGGACTGCATATACCGTACGTTTTGTACCGGCATGGATCATGCAACTGCTTCTGAAACAATTCAATGAATTTATCCAGCCTTAAAGAAGGCGGACAAATTTCCCATCGTTATTAAGGCTTTTCGACAATTCTTCATCAAAAATGATTTAAAGACGACATTAAAAAAATATATTTAGGATGGTTCGGTGGTTGGAGTAACCGCTTTTCTCCTGGGAGCACTTAGCACTGCTGTCTCCACCATACTTACTTACCCACTACAGATTTTACAGTCCAGAGCCAGGGTACGCATTATACATATACATATTTATGTATGTACAGGGAGTCCCAAAAAACATGGAAAATAAGTGACGGCTTTGGCTTCTTCTTGGATCCATGTAGAACACTGTAATTTTTATATTTTCAAAATGTCGGAGAAATTCAGTAATGTGTCCAGATTGTTATTTATCAAATAAAATTTAAATTGTCAAAAAAAATTTATCTCAATCAATTTGTCAGACACTGTAAACCTAAAATTTTTTATCTCTATTAAATTCTAAAATTTTAATGTCGTCTCAAAATTTCTTTGTTTATTGGGAAGTTTTTTTGAAAATACTAAAATATTATTCAAGTTTCTAAAAACATTTTCTTTTCTGTTAATTCTACGCACAAATAGCTTCTTTGTTACATACTATAGAAATGCCAAAATTAGGATAGTTTTATGATAAAATAATAAAATAAACATTTCTTTTCCAGCAAATGATAAAAATCATGATTTGGTTAATATCAAAATATTGATAACTAGCCTTATAGGGCGCTTCGCGGATTTTCACAAAAAAATTCGTGGATTTTCAAAATTTTCCAAAATTTAATGAAGATCGAATTTTGATGGAGACAAATATTTGAAATTTTGATCATTCATAAACCTTCCCTGTGGTCACGTGATGTCCCACTAAAAATTTGGGCCCGATCGGTTCAGCCGTTTTGACGTTTATTGGATACAAACAAACAGACAAACAAACAAACAGACAGACAAGCCAAATTTATATATAGATGATAAAAATCATGATATTGATAATATTAGAATTTAGAATAATGATAATATATTAATATCATCATTGATCCCTGCAAACTATAGAGAAGGATTATACTGGTAGAGTTTTATGACCTCATAGCTCCTCTATAGTTTTGGATTGGCGCAAAAGTGTGAGAAAGCAAATTCATACAAAAGAAATTCAAAATTTTTTGGTTTTTTTTTCGAATTTTGCAATTCTTACAATCAATGTACTACACAGGTTGACGTCAGAAATGATGATAAAATGAGAATTATTTGTTTAGAACAGTTTAAAGAACTTGTCTCTCAGGCAAATCCTGGTTCTCATTTTAAGGTGATTTTTCTCTTATTAATCCATAAATTAATCTATAGCTTGGCAACCCAGCTTTGCCAGTCATTTTCTAACATTTAAACCATATGCTAAGATCCCAAATTAAGATTTGAGTCATAGAGGTGAATGGGTTGCTGAGTTATGATCGGACATACAAAATAAGCAAACAAACATACATCAAGACAAAACAGAGATAAAATATGATAAAATATGCGTATTGTCTGTCTCTTGCCATCAGTTCTTTATGCATCGATCCGAGCAGATTTAAAGGGCCTGTTCCTGACTATTTAGATTGAACTCATCTTATCTAAATAGCTGTACTAAGAGAATATAAACTTTAGTATGGTTTACCCATACTTAGAATGGTTGAATCAAAAGGTCCTAAATATTTGAAACAACTTCACATGAATTAGAAATTAAAGCATGCGCCTACAGAAAAAAACGGGGCATATGAATCACATCAATATCCCATCAAAGAGGAGAAATAGGTTAAATAATCGTCAATGCTCACAGAGCGTTCGATAAAATACAGGGTGAAACATGACAGTTGATGAATAGTTTAAAATGTCTTCTTCCAAAATTTGTTAAGTTGTTTGATACCAAAGATGATGATAAGAAATACTAAATACTAAGAAGTCTTAAATAACTAATCAAATATCATGGAAGAAGACATTGAAAACTATTCACCAAACTGTCATGTTTCGTGGGACACCCTGTATGTAATTTTGTCGAACTTTCTTCGTTCAATTTAGAGCTTAGGATTTCTTTAATTAGGCTTTTGGGGCGCACACTTTCCTGTAAATAGTTTTAGTTTTTAACTGTCGCCATTTAAAATAATTCTAAAATTTTGGTTTGGTGCATTTTCAAAAAAAAATTTCATCTATTTTCCAGGATTTTTTCTTCCAATTTTGATGTTCTATAAACCTTCCCTGAGGTCATGTGAGGTCCAAAACAAACTTTGGGCCCGATCGGTTCAGCCATTTTTACGTTTATAGGAGACAAATGGAATTGAAATTCGGGATTTTTAATCGTTTCCCAAATTTCTCTGTTTAAATTGGCGCATTATCAAAAATACTGTCGAAATTTTTCAGGGCAACATTTTTCATCTTTGAAACAGCGGCGGGGTCTTGTGAGTTGCCGAAAAATATTTTGGCCTGATTGGTTTGGCCGATTTGACGTTTACTGCAGATACAGATAAACAAACAGACAAACAGACAAGTCAAAATTATACACAAAAATTAATTTTATAAATTTATTATTTGTGATATTTTTAGAGAGGATGGATTAGAAGGATTGTTCCGAGGCCTTGACTCAAAGGAAAACTGCACAAACAATAACAAATAATTTTTGTCTGATCATTGAAAGGGACAGTAAGGGTAATATTAAGCGAACCTTCGTATATAATAGGCCTTTTCTGATCAATTATGAATTAGATATCAATTTTTGTAATTTTATGTGAGATTATTTTTTATTGTGAATTCTTGTGACTTGCGCATTTCTGCTACAGGAAAAAGTATTGGAATTACCAGAATCAAACACTTTTAATCTAAAAAGTAAAAAACGACAATATCATAATTGATAAGATAAACGGTAACGTTGTATGTCAATCGGGCATTGTCTTCTTTTCATCATAGGAGGTCACTTTTAATCAAGCGCACCACAGGCACTTTATGATCTTTTCCATTTTTCTGAAACGTTGATCTTTTTCATAAATATTTCATCATGTTTGATTTTAATGGTCTTGTATACACAAAAATATATTTTAACAGCCTAAGAATGAGAAACCAGCGATAACTGCAGTGTAGTCATAGTTAGTCCCGCCGTTTACCCGCGCTTGCTAGTAAATTACGATTTTAGCTATTTTCCCATATAAATGTGGACCCACTCAACTGAGAATCTCAAGCTTAGAACATTCCAGTGGTTCTCCCGAGTTCCACAATCAAAATTTGAAGCAAATCGGTTCATGAGTTATGATCGGACAAACAAACAAACAGACAGAGATTAAAAATTTATATACATATAAGCTTGGGAACCCAGCATTGCCCACGGTTTTTATAATTTATCCTAATGTTTACCCGCATTTGGTAGATTTTACCGGGAAACTAAATTTTCGCACCCACTCAACTTTGAATCTCAAAACCAAGCTAAAAACGTTCCCGTGGTTCTCCCAAGTTCCCCAATCAATACTTGAGGCAAATCGGTTAAAGGGTTCAAGAGTTATGATAGAACAAACAAACATACAAAGAGATATTACAACTTTATATATATAGATTATAGATACTCTTTAAACATCTGAAAGATACGAAATATTCCCCCCCCTCCCTGCTGTTGGTTTCTAATCTTGTTTAGGCCTCCCTGCTGTTGGTATCTAATCTTGTTTAGGCCTCCCTGCTGTTGGTATCTAATCTTGTTTAGGCCTCCCTGCTGTTGGTTTCTAATCCTGCAATAAAGTTCACTGTCTACGAACTTCTTAAACGAAAATTTTTCAAGGTAAAAACAAGGCAGAAATATTCTTACTTACGCATTGTTCCAAAGGTTGTGAACTCTCTTGAAAAATCATTTTGCAAACATCTTCTTAAAAACTCGTGCTTAAAAACAAGTACTTAATCCAATTTATGCACCCAGATTTCACCCAGTTGGTGACTGAAGTTCAAGTGACTTGGTAAAAATGGGATTCAAAAAGTTGAGTTTAAGTCGAGTTTATGCGCCCAGATTTCACCCAGTTGGTGAATGGAATTCAAAAGTGGAGTTAAAGTCGAGTTTAAGTGGAGTTTTGAAGTGGATATTTGAAATCCAAGTTTTTACCATGACTGGGTAAAAACTGGGATTCAAAAAGTCGATATAGTTATAAAAGGTTAAAGGTAAAATCAAAGGCCACTAATGCACCTAATCATTAAAATTTATCGGGGGAGGCATAGTTATTAGCTTTAACACCCAATATCACATCAGCTATCACTTTTTATTTCAAACTTATGTATGTATATTGTAAAGAAAATTAATATAGAACGGATTTTATGCAACTTGAATTTAAGTCTGTAGATCACTGTGATCTTAATCTAGAGTCCGAATTTAATGAATTTGATCCGCATCTTAAATCCACAAATAACAGGTTTCAATTGAGCGACGGCTCAAACTCAGTAATTGTACATCGTGGAAATTTTTTATATGTCTCAAATGAATCCTAAAGAATTTTTACACAACACTCCATACTCAGTTTAACTACCTTACATAGCCGGTCTGTCCCTTTAAATCTTGAAACATTGAATTCAATTGTAAGTGGAACCAACCATATTTGAGCCGCGGCTCCAATTCTTTAAATTCGCTCTCAGGGTACATTTGTTGCATAAAACGTGCTGGGTCGACTCTACATCTTGGTAGCCATGACTGGATTGTACAACGGACTGCATATACCGTACGTTTTGTACCGGCATGGATCATGCAACTGCTTCTGAAACAATTCAATGAATTTATCCAGCCTTAAAGAAGGCGGACAAATTTCCCATCGTTATTAAGGCTTTTCGACAATTCTTCATCAAAAATGATTTAAAGACGACATTAAAAAAATATATTTAGGATGGTTCGGTGGTTGGAGTAACCGCTTTTCTCCTGGGAGCACTTAGCACTGCTGTCTCCACCATACTTACTTACCCACTACAGATTTTACAGTCCAGAGCCAGGGTACGCATTATACATATACATATTTATGTATGTACAGGGAGTCCCAAAAAACATGGAAAATAAGTGACGGCTTTGGCTTCTTCTTGGATCCATGTAGAACACTGTAATTTTTATATTTTCAAAATGTCGGAGAAATTCAGTAATGTGTCCAGATTGTTATTTATCAAATAAAATTTAAATTGTCAAAAAAAATTTATCTCAATCAATTTGTCAGACACTGTAAACCTAAAATTTTTTATCTCTATTAAATTCTAAAATTTTAATGTCGTCTCAAAATTTCTTTGTTTATTGGGAAGTTTTTTTGAAAATACTAAAATATTATTCAAGTTTCTAAAAACATTTTCTTTTCTGTTAATTCTACGCACAAATAGCTTCTTTGTTACATACTATAGAAATGCCAAAATTAGGATAGTTTTATGATAAAATAATAAAATAAACATTTCTTTTCCAGCAAATGATAAAAATCATGATTTGGTTAATATCAAAATATTGATAACTAGCCTTATAGGGCGCTTCGCGGATTTTCACAAAAAAATTCGTGGATTTTCAAAATTTTCCAAAATTTAATGAAGATCGAATTTTGATGGAGACAAATATTTGAAATTTTGATCATTCATAAACCTTCCCTGTTTAGGAGCTAGTAAACATAAACCTAGTCTTTAGTGTAATAGGAGCTAGTAAACATAAACCTAGTCTTTAGTATACTGGGAGCTAGTAAACATGAACCTAGTCTTTAGTGTACTAGGAGCTAGGAAACATAAACCTTGACATTAGTATACTAGGAGCTAGTAAACATAACCTAGTCTTAAGTATACTAGGAGCTAATAAACATAAACCTAGTCTTTAGTATACTAGCAACTAGTTAACACTAATGTATGAAAATTATGTATGTTAGTTATTCAAAAATTAAAATGCAAATAAAATATTAAAACTAATTATTTAAAACTGTTAAAAAACTAGCAATTTAGAGCTTTACACAATCTTTACAACTATGGGACGAGGGAATTGGAAAGCCAACCAACTAGGGTTTCCAACGCAACTTCGCAAGTGGATTTTACTTGCGCAATTGCGAACCCTTGCGTGCAAGTGAAATTAATTGCGCGCTCTAGTTAAACTTTCTTGCGTTTTTGTTGCAATTTTTCAATAATATTCAATTGAAACCTTATGGCACCCAATTATTTTTTTTGCGAAAATCCGTTCAACAACAAAAAAATTCAATTTAATCTTTGGTTGTGGCATACAATAAACTGAACTTCAAAGGCTAGGAAAATTGAATTTAAACTATATTCTTTTATTTTATAATATTTATGTGCAGCATGATAACCACAAAACTCTGTCATAGGAAGAAGACATTTTAGACTCGAGCAGACCAATTTAACGAATGAGTAATTTAATAAGTTACCGATCAAAATTTATTGCTTTGTAACGACATTAAATACACTGTATCGCTGTCTTTCTGTACCATAGCTTTCTGGTTCTCACTGTAGCAAAATATCTAATTATGATTAAAAGAATCTTACAATTTTAACCAAAAAAAGTTTTCATTTTAATGTTTGTCCAATGTGAACAAATGAAAAATGTATCCTATTAAGTTGTTAATTAGTAGTTTAACCACAAGGAACTTTAAAATTAGTTTTCAAACAAGGGACTCCTCGGGACTCGATTATTTTAAAATCAACAGAGATATTTCCATTCTTGTACAGGGTGTCCCAATAAACATGGGAATTCAGTGACGAATTCGATATCGTCTTTTTAAAAAATTCTTTGATTTAGTATAGTGATACCTACCACGAAAAAGCTGTGATCTAGAAGAGTTTCGTCTGCTATGTTAACATTTTGTTTGTTTATGTTTTGACTGCATACAGTTGTACTAGTAAAACAAGAAAATTGCAGTATACAAACAGTGTAAACTTGTCCGTCTTCACTGTTCATCTTGCGGAGACATTATAGACACATCTTTACAGTCTTTTACCCTTTTCATAAAATAAACTCTAGCAGAAATAAAAATATTATGGCTTTTAAAATTAGGTATTACAATGCTAATTCATAACAAAGACGATATCGAATTTGTCACTGAATTCCCATGTTTTTTTGAACACCCTGTATCTGCTGCATAAAGGAATTGAGTCTTTGCCACAAACTCTGATTTTCCAATCCCTGTATCTTTACAACCCAATGTCGTAGACCTTATTAGATATTTCAAACGGTAAATGATGTTAAATCAAATAATCTAAGTTTGAAATTTCAAAATTTTACACGAACAGGTTGCAAATATATAATGATTAGAACATTTGAGTTTATGACAAGGACTCAATTCCTTTGTAAGTCACGGTTAGAATAATTAATGAAATGGCGCAAGCGGAAGCAATCATTGCGCGCAAGGGAATTCCAATTGGAAACCCTACATCCATGTCGCCGTATTTTTTCTTCAAAAGGCCACAATTTTCATGTAAGGAGAAAAAAATGACGAAAATACTGAAAACTTTTAGATTAAATTTATTTCAACATTGTCATTTTATGTAATATTTAATTTTCCAAAGATCCAATTCTTCTCCATTGATCAGAGTCTAGTCTAAACATTGTATTCTTATTAACTAAAGAATGTAGTTTAAAGGGACTGTGATTTAATTTCAAGTGTAATGGAAATTTCAAGCTGAAGAAGAGAAACCAAGGTTGAAGATAATCTATATGCGAAGTAAAAAATATATTACAAAGCTATTTAGGGTACCGTGAGAATCGGATATATCTATATAATAAAACAAGACATTCATATATATGTTGCGTATAGCCGGCCTAAGGGCTTGACCGATTGGGATGATTTTTTTTGTGGACACTCATGGGTGGCCAGGGGGTGTTATAGGCTGAAATAAATTTGAATTTTTTTCTCCAAAAATTTCTCTTTTTTATATAAAGAAAAATATATAGAAAATAAGAAATTCTCTTTTCTTCAAATTGTTTTTTCTACGGGCAACGGAATTAATAAACCCCGAACCAGCTCACCGTGCTATTCTATAAGTGCATCTATCTAAACTTAAAAAAAACATACTTCTGTAAGAAATTATCTTTTTACCCAGAAACAAGGAATTCTGTTGGTGATTGTCATGCAATCCTTTTAATATTCGTCTTTAACATTTACAAAAATAAATCTTCCATTTCTTCAGAAAATTGCTTCAACTTGAAATTAACTTTAAGCAATTTTAAAAAGCGTGACATTTGTGAGAGGTAAAATTTCCTTAAAATTCAAAAGTCTTTAAGAACGTATAGACTAGATGGAAACATGGTCATGAGTTGGGCTGGCGTTTTCCTACTTTTCTGGAAACGATCGTTCCTCTAGAACGACGCCCCGGCCCAGCCCTTGAACTGGGTGTGTTCCTACTTCTGAAAAATCGTTCGTTCTTATCTTTTCCATGAAAGAGCTATCGTTCCTCAGGAACGACGACAATTTAGCTAAACCTCGTGTAGAATATGGTAAAATCACATCACACAGACAAACAAATCTCTTTCTTTGTATCAAAAAAAATCCGTAATCCTTTTTTCTCTCACGCGCTTTATTATACCAAAGTCCAAAACCGGGAAATAAATTTTAAGAATAAAAAATCCCCTCCTGCTTTAAAGCTTATTAAACATCTGTTTAAACGTCCCGTTATTTTTTTTCTTACAGAATTTGGAGTTTTGGAGAAAAAATGATTAAAAAATAGTATGTCAAAGACTAATTCTCCCCCCCACATAAAAATTCTTGAAAATCTGTTTTCTATTAATATCAACTCATTCCTTTGGAACATAGCCTCCACACACCACACTAGATATGGACAACATTTTTGGTTAATTTTACCATTTTCTATTAAATTTTAACTTTTTTTTGATTTAGTTTTAACATTTTTTGGTTAAATTTTACCATTTTTTTGGTTAAATTTTACCATTTTTTGGTTAAATTTTAACATTTTTGGTTAAATTTTAACTTTTTTGGTTAAGTTTTAACATTTTTTGATTTAGTTTTAACATTTTTTTGGTTAAATTTTAACATTTTTTTTGGTTAAATTTTAACATTTTTTGGTTAAGTTTTAACATTTTTGTTTAAATTTTAACATTTTTGCTTAAATAACAGTTTTAGTTAAATTTTACCATTTTTTGTTACATTTCAACATTTTTGGTAAAATTTTAACATTTTTGGCTAAATTTTAACATTTTTGATTTGTCTTTAGCATCAATATTTTTAATTTAATTTCTAAAATTCTCCATTAGATTCAAATTTGTTTTCCTTTAAAGTTTGCTGCTATTTCATTCTGCAAATTATTTAAAAAAATTTAAAATTTAAAAAATAAAAAAACTTGACTTTTTCGTATAAAGCCTTAAAAAAATTGCAAAAACCTTGAATGTATCAAAACAAAGGTTGAATAATGAGGTTGGTTACTCTCGAATCTCGATGCGCTCCAATGTACGGAAAATGTCGTCTCCTCTAATAGATAAAAACCATATTTGACGCCACTACTTATAGCGGCGAGAGTGACGTCATATGAGGAGTTTATCCATCAATCTTAGGAAAAGAAATTTTTCGTACATTGGAGCGCATCTAGATTCGAGAGTAACCAACCTTATTTTACAACCATAATAAAAACCTATAAGAAAATGGTGTCCATCTCTAACCAGCTCACACAAACACAGACAGAAAATCAAGACATGAACATACAGAGTTATTATTTGGCCTTTTTTAAACATAATTTTACGGAGCCAATGACATCTTAATGATCTGCGTAAAATTCCAATTTAGAAATTTTCAGGGATTAAAGACACGGCTAGAGTTGATAGGAATGTTGAATTTTAAAAATGGATTTAGAGTCAATTATAATTGTATCATAATTTTTCCTGTGCCTGAACATCCCGTAAATGATAAAAAGGAAGTTTTCGCTAGAATTTAACATATTAATATAATATTGAAAACCATATCTAAAGTGTACAATGCTTTACTGTAATAAATAAAGTTTCTTTGAATAATTCTAGTTTAGTACATATAAAAGGACTATGGCTTAGCCAAGGAAACTAAATTCTAAATCAGTTTTTTTTAATTCTGACATATGAAGCAAAACAGCAGTTTAGACTGCTGAGCTTAAGATTAAAAATTGCACTTTAATATGAAAAACTCAACTTAAGTTGAGTTTAAAAAAAATAGGTAAGAAAAACCCGTGTTTAGAAAACTGAACTTACTGGAAAGATTATATTACTGAATATTAAACATCAAGCTCAGGAGAATAAACTAGCGATACCATGAAGACACACTACAGCCTATACACCCTCTATTAAGGGGAGGAAGGCAAATCACAACAATTTCTTGTCTGAGCCACTTGCTCCTCATTTTCTCTTCTAAACAACCTCGAAATCCTCGTCCTTCCAATAAAATTTTTGTATATAGAAAAAAAGAAAGATTTACGTCACCAGATTCTTAAAAATGTTTTTATCTTCAAGGATTGGACACTTAAATTACATAATAATCGAAGGCGGCTCGGTCAAGAAAATAAGGATGTGGCTCGGACGAAAAATTGTTATGGAGGCCTTTCTCCCCTCCTCCAATAATAAATGCAATAGTAAAAGCCGGAAGTATTTTGACTGAATACAGTTTACAGTTCACACTGTATGTGGTCGAATATACCAAATTAGATATTCTACTGCAATTAATCTAATATCAAATAATATTCTAATCCAAAAAATGTTGTAATATACTTAACATTCAGATATGCAAAGGTTAGAACTTTTGTTGATTGGGAAAAATCAATTTTATTGAGGATATTTTTTTAGTCATTTTGAAACGCATTTGAATCATTAAGACGAGAGATTAGAATAACCTCAGGAAAACCTTCAGAATAACATATTTGGCTCATTTTTAACATTTTTAATGCTGAAACGTTAAATATCAACGTTTAGTTTATATTCTGCGATAAAGAAATGAAATGCTATGTTGTTAGGTACAATACCCTGATAATACTAACTACTTTGGGATACAAAATATAAAAGAGAAAATGTATTAAGGACTATCTTTGTTTAAAGCTGGAAAAGAGAGAGTAAGCTAATGAACTACGATAATAAAGATTGAAAACATTGGAAAAAGAATTTAAAGATACTCATAATGGGGTGTGAGGGTTTTTAAAGAATTCTAAAAACGCGCGCCAAATTTGAATAATTTGAAAGTCGGAAAATTTTTGGAATGAAAGAATAATACAACAAGACCCACAAAACTGTGAATAGTCTGATGTTCATTTAATAATGTTTTTGTTGGAAAATGAGCTAAGGGTGCATGGGTCTGTGTTTCATGTTATTTCTTAAACTCGAGTTTAACACTGTCGGCTTTCAATTCCACAGTTTTCTGGGTCTTAACGTTTGAAGAGAAAACAATTGCGGTGGAAAAGTTATAAAATTAAATTTAATCATAAAAATTAAATGTAGAAGATTATAATAAGGTCAAACTAAACACCTCACACCCAAGATATAAATCCCATGTAATTGTTTATACTTTCTAAAAAAGGCTTGGGTAAAAAACGTGAGGTACTTAAAAATTATAGGAATTAGTGAATTTTACTCCAATAAAACTAATATTTCTGAGAAAAGAATAAAATGGAAGAAAAGTAGATAAAATAAATGCCATGAACTAAGTAAAACAACTGAACACTGTACAGTACATTTGGGTTCACTTTACACTATTTTAGCTGTACAATAAAATCTACGTCATTAGCAGTTGTAAAATGTACTTTATAGCTGTACAGTACCAAGTAAACTGTTACAGCTGAAAACTAATATTTACAATGATTACAGCTGTTAAGTGTACAATCTTTACAGAGCTATAACGTACATGTGAAAGGTGTACATTAAACTGTTAAGTACATCTATTGCAAAAGAAAAAATATCTGTAATTCACTAAATTAACAATTTGATTTGTCTGAAGATCAAGCTACATACATACATCGTAGATATGCTATTACAAGAAAAGCAAAGATTTTTTGACAAATTTTAACAAGGTTTGGTTTGGGGTTTCATCTGAACAAGGAGACTAGATTTTTACAATTTCATTTGAAAACAAAATTTTATCAAAAAATCCCGGCCGTGAGAGCACTTTTCCCACCACCAACACGTCATTTACTGAAAAAGTGAAATTGTGAAAAAAGAAAAATATTGAGAACAAAAAATTGCAAAGTGGAAACAAACTAAAATAAATAAAATTTTGCACACACAGTGATTTTTGATTTTTTTTTTGCATGAATTAACATTTCTGGGACTTGAAGCTAATCCCGGACAAAACAAAAAAAGACAATGGGACAATTAAAAACGGAAACATAAATGAACTTAATAAAAAGAAGATATTACGGATTGTAATTAAGATGTAACCGGAGTTGGTTTAAAGGGAGAGACCGGCTAGACATGGTAGTTGAGCTGAAAGTGCAGTATTGTACGTAGAGAAACACTTTAGGATTCATTTAATACCAATTGGACATTTCACGGTGTAAATTTTTAAATAAGAACGTTAAGTCATTTGTAATATTTCACCTGTTGTTTCAGCAGAAGAAACGTTTTTAAGAATGCTTTAACAGCCGGTCTCTCCCTTTAAGGCAAGTTGAATAAAAATAACGGGAGGAAGGATCACATTAAAGTTTCTGTTCCGGCGAGGGAACTCACCATCTCGGTTTCGTGGTAGCTGTGATTCGCTGCACTCGCGCCAATATCGATCTGGTCCTCTTTTGCGCGATCCGGGGGCATCAGAACGCGATTGTGTGGACTTCGGGCAGGGGTTCCTGAATCATATATATATGTATTTGTATCATATTTTTCTCCACAAAATTTGCATGCGGGATCTTAAAACATAGATGTGTAGTGTGTACTGTGTGGTTTCTTGTTAAAAAGGATAATAGAAGATTAGACAAATAAAACTTTAATGAGGGTGGACAAATATTGTTTTAAGTTTACCTTGTTTTTTTTCAAATAAAAAAATAAAAGAGTTGGATTTACCTAATATTTTTTTTATAGACGAAGCAAAATTTAAACATTTTAACGTAATTTTCACACGCAAACAAATTTCGACTCTATAAAAATGATTCCATCTTGAAGTTGCCCCCCTCCATTTAAGGTCTTGAATGAAAGTCTTGTATCTTTGAGTGGGAACAAATAATTTCTTATGCTCATAGAATTTGCCAGATTTGGACTAGCAAACACCGTCTTACACCTGCTACTCTCTAGATGAACCCATGCCTTGGCCCAAGGTGGAGGTGCTAAGGGGGTTCAGTCACCCCCCCCCCCAGGATCAGTAAAATCTATGATTTTCAGGTGGTTTTCAGGCCCCAACGGATACAGAACCCCCAAGCAATGTTTTTAAAGCCCCCCTGGAAAATTCCTGCGTCCGCCCCCCCCCCCCAGCTTACCAAATTCACTGATAGTTGACTCGGTATACGACGGTGTTCCTTCGGTCCATGTTGGTGTAGCGGTCCGACCTAAAATCACCACGTGTTCCAAAGAGATGTCAACACGTGTCAACAGAGTTGATAACACGTGTCTTCAAACTTGCATGCATAAGATTTTATAGGGTGCAAGAAAAAATTACTTTAAAAGGAACAAGGATAAATTTTAAGTGACCCTCCAAGGAAAATTTGAAATGACCGATTTACAACGGTACCCTGGAAACCTTAATTTGATCAAATTCAGTTATAATTTACACTTGATCATTGTCATCTTTGCATGGAGGGTCACAATAAATTACGCTTACAGTCCCTTTAAGATATTTTTATCAAATAGGAAATGTGTACAGTAATTTCCTCTTCTGACGACGACGTAATATATCTAAAAGTTATAAATGGGAATGTTCACGAAGCTTAAGGGACCCTCCGGTTGTAGAGTGACTTGTACGATTAACAACGGTGCCATTTGAACCTTCGACGGAGAAAATCTAAAATTTCATGATTTTTTAATTGTGGTTTCTTTATATACGTGACTCGTGGATTTATATCGCTGATGCACAGAATGAATAATATTTAAGAACATATCTTCCCAATTGCTGTTTAAATAAGGATTATTAAACGAGTATCGTAGTGACACAGACATGGGGTTCACTCAAAGCAGCATGATAAATGTGAATATTAGTTTTGTTGAGATTTATATATTCTGATTTTCTCGAAAAAGTTCGTAAAAAAGCGAAAAAGATTATGATTAGTCCTATTCTCGACCTTCCCTTCTCAAAAACTCCCGATATTCAATAAACCCCTGGAAAAGGACAGTTGACATCTATTTCTCAATATATGAATACTTAGTAAAACTTCGACAATCATTTTCAATCTTATTGATAATGTTCAAGGATTTAAAATAAAAATTCATGCATTTAGATAACTGTGTCCAGAGCTAAAAACTTTAGAATCTTGGATCTTGAGATTAATGCTGGATCTCCTCTTATTCGTAATCTCGAGATTAAATAATGCTTGTTCTCCTCTTGTTATTAATCTCCAGATTAATTAACCGATTGGGATTACGGATATCCCATTCTAAAGTTTTCAGCTCAAAGCTGAAAACTTTAGAATCTTTGATATTGAGATTAATGCTTGATCTCCTCGTTTCGTTTATTTCGTTTATCCATAAATTCTACCAATCAGAGTGTACCAAAAGAGAGTATTAAGAAATGGATATTCAGATTAAGTGATCGGGATTAAGGGTATCCACTTCTAAAGTTTTTAGCTCAGGTGTAAAAATATTATGTTCAATCAGTGTTCTATGTTGTACTGGTACAAAAACCGAGTTTAACATGGAAAACCAGTTAATCACAGAAAGCATAATTTTCTTTAACGAAGAACATAAAACAACTTGGCCCGTGTAAAAAATTTATTTTTTTTGTTGCAAAAGTTGATTTTATATTTTATTTTTATGTTCTCAAAAAATAATTGCGAATTTGTTTATTAATTTCTAAAAATCAAAATAGTGTTTTCGAGACTCACTGGTTGAAGAATAATAATAGTAAGAATGAGGATGTGAAGGGGGGGGGGGGGCTCTAGTGAGCATCGTTTTCTGAGCCGTTATGACACATATGTGAGTAATAAATAAAATTGAAAAATTGTATTCTTGATAAGTTTGCTTTAATTAAATTATGCGAATATTTTCTAAGATCAAAGATATTAACCAAAATATTCTAATCGGGTTGAAAATTGTTTAAAATTGTGCAATTTTGAAATAGTATTCATATTTCAAATTCTTGAAGAGCCTCTTAAGTCTAAAAACTTTGAATGTTTAAGAACGGGCCTCAAAACGATTCCCATGAGTATATATGTAACTAGTTGCTAGTTTAAAGTATAAACTGACCTGAACTGATAGTTGTAGAGAGTTTAGAAGGTGTGTCATCTAGTCGGGGTTCAAGCTTTATATCACTCACACTTACAACATCACCACTGGTTGATGTAACCAAATTAATAAAACCTAGCTACTTTGTCCGGCGTTGCCCTTGGAATTTCAGAAACACGTAAATTCTCTTCTTCTTTACATTTTAAGGAAATAAAATGAAAAAAAACATTTCGATTTTTTTTCGTCTTTATCCAAGGTTCTCACGGGTTCCTTAAAAAAATTCAGCCAATTTTTGAAAAAGGAAATTGTTCAAAACCGCGGTTTTTTACCCATATATAGGCCCACGAAACATGACAGTTTGTTCAATGAATTAGAATGTCTTCTTCCATAATTTGTTAATTTGTTTAATACCAAAGACATAATAAAAATATTTTATAGGAATCATATTATAGTAAAATTAACTTCAAAGTAAAATATAGTTGAGCAAAAGATTTTTAAACGAAATAAACTGCAAACAGCCTTTAATATCTAATACAGTGTATGAAAGACGACATTCAAAACTATTTACTAACTGTCATGTGTCGTAGGACACCCTGTATATGACACTTGGAGTTACGTACGTGTTCTGGACCAGATTTCTTTTATAAGAAAATTTGTAGTACAGTAGGACCCATAAAATCTTGAAATAGACAAATGACTTAATTCTGATTTAAAACAGCTTAAGGAACATTAAACACCGTGATTGTGCATCGTACACAGACCCATTTTCTGTTGCTGTTAAACTGTTTGGTTTAAAACATAAAATTAATTGAATTTATATTTCACAGTTTACAGGGTCCCACTGGGACAACAGCTTGATTTTTTTTTGATTAAATTCCTAATGTATCTTGTCCTAGGACTGCGTCCTGGTTGAGGACTGAGTCCTGGACTATGGTTAGAATAGTTCCAATCTCCCTCAGATGTCCGTCCTACGGTTAGACTAGATCGGTCAGGGACTACGTCAGGTCGGGATCCACCTGGAGTAAGTAATAAAAGTTTTAAAATGTTTAGTGTTTGATGCTAGGGAAACCAACCTAAAGGAATCCGACCTAGTTAACCTAGTGTATCCGACCTAATTTTTCACTCCCCGCGCGTTTTTGACGAATTTAAATTAACTTCCCCCGCAACTACTTCTAATCCCAATTCAAGCTAGTTTAACCTAACATAACCTATTTTAAGATTGATTACAATTTTAGGTCGGAAAACCCGTAGGTCAGTTCCCTCTAGGTCGAATGATTTAAAAACGACCAAGCTTATAAAAAAAAATAATAATAATATGAAAAAGTTTTTAAAGAAGTATGTTTTATCTTAGAAAACATATTCAATATCTTTCTTGGTTGTCTTTATAGTGTGTTCAGTTGGACACATCAGGGGGTCACAAAACATTAAGTGTTTACGGTAAAATGAATCACCAATTTTAAACTTTCTTGAAAAGTGGGTTGCAATAATTTTAAATATTAAATCTAAGAAAATGTTGAAAATATTTGAATAAGAAAATAATTTTTCCATTAAGAGGAATCATTTTAATTAGAATTATTGAAATATATGATTTTTTGAAAAACAATTTTTTTGCTATTACTTGTGAATTTCCCCCCTCCCAATCTGGTGTTCACAGGGGGTAATGGGGGGAGGGGGGTAATAGATGATTTTCAACAGTCTTTTAATTATAATAAATAAAGAATAATTATTTACTGGGGTTCAAGCCACCAAAAACACTCAGTCAATAAAGTAACAACAGTGAATGAAAAAGTAAACAATTAATATTTGATTTAGAAAAGCCATATTATGATTGTTAACTGGAGAAAAATACGTTAAACAATTAAGTATTATTATCATTTTCATTTACTGTTGATTTTGTGAGTATAAAAAATTTTCCAAGCGCGAGACATAAAATTGATAAAAATCTACAAATAAAAAATTTACGTCTTTGCTTAATTTACAAAATAAATATGTGTAGTACATAAAATCTGTGATTTTCACCTGAGCCCGCGATTTAAAAACTTCGGATCGACTCTATTTAAACCCGACTTCAAAACCCCTTCCACCTAACTCTGACGACAGATTGTGTCACGTGATTGACAGCTGCAAGATCTTCAGCTCGACTTAGGAAGTTAGGTCCAATGAAAATAAAACCGACCGGGCCGTGGTTGGTTTTAGTGGAGAATACAGCTCAATGTTGAGTCTTGTTCTTATAAAAACCCGGAATGCGCCAATTCCTAACATGAAAATCCCCAAAGATTATTAAACCGGTTTTTAGGGCTCAACTATGTTGAAAATAAGATGCAGCTTGAATCCGAAAGCTCAAGCCGTAAGTAAGGCCAATCTAACGAAAGCTTAGACCTCTGAGTCGTATTTTCCCGATTTTTTTTAAATCGCAAGCTCTGGTTCATTTCGAGATTCTTAATAAAACATTTATTTTTATAAATAAGCACCAGTTAAAATGACTGTAGGTTTAGACGTAATTTCAAGTGAACCTCCCTTTGCAGAGCAACATGTCCAATTTACAACAGTACCCATGCTAAACCTTTAGACTGCTCAAGGATGTCGGGCAAATGCTTATTTATCTTACTCGAGCACTTTGTTGCAAACTGATATTTTAACAAATATCAATAGTCGGCAGAATATAAAGTTTACATGAATTAAACAGCTATTCAACGCTATGAAAAGTCAAAGGTGCAAAGGGTACCGTTGTAAATCGACCATTACCTTCTTTGCATGTTGAGTCACTTGAAATTATGCTTACCGTACCTCGAGTAATAATATCAGCTTAAAGCTCAGCAAGAGTTTTTCACTTAATTTCAAGTTACCCTCTACTGATAAATTGGCATGTCCTATTCACAACAGTACCCTTAAAAGATTTCTCAATCAGAGTGTGAAATAAAAATACATGTTTTTGTTTCTAAAAACCAATAATTATCATTTGTGGCTTCTCTGTGTTTAAAACTTGTGCGCATTTCTTTCTTCAGAAACTATGAAAAAATACTCTTTAAGCCAGAAAAAGGTAATGTTACATCGTCTATACGCAGCATCCCCCCTACTCAACTTCTGACCTACCAACTTTCCGACCTATAACTTCAATATCGGACCTACGCCAGCTGTTTATTTTTGTATTATTTGAGGGTTAAAAGTAAGGAAAATTTCTGGGCCGAGCGCCACGGCTAGGGGTCCGGGCCACAAGGCCATATAGCAGCTGTAAAACCACGTGCTAGTAGGTCGAATGTGTAGTATAGCGGATTTGGCGTAGGTCAGAAGTGGAGTATAGCGGATTTGCAAAGGTCGAAAAATACACCATCTAGAAAAACGTCGCTATTGATCAGATTAGGGTTTCAAGGGTACCGTTGTGAATCGCCCATACACCTCTTTTATCATCAATATCTTTTTTTAAATTGACATCATTTAGAATCACAAATAAAGTCCTTTTAGCCGAAAACTTTCTTCTACATAAATAATGGTGCAAATCTAAATAAGTGTCAGTTTCACCCTTCTAATATCTAACAGCTAAGTAAATAAAAAAAACTAATATTAAAAACAAAACAAAATACAAAATAAGAAATAAGTAATGCAAAAATGATGACATATGAAAGTGAAAGCTCTAAATTAAGGATTATGACCATTAGGAACCATCAAGGTTTTAGATTTGAGATTATGATCCTAGGAAACCATCAAGGTTCTAGTTTTAAGATTATGATCCTAGGAAACCATCGAGGTTCTAGTTTTAAGATTATGATCCTAGGAAACCACCGAGCTTCTAGATTTAAGAAAATGACCCTAAGGATCCATCGAGGTTCTTGATTTAATATAATGATCCTAGGCAACCATCGTGGTTATATATTTATGATTATGATCCTAGGAAACCACCGAGCTTCTAGATTTAAGATTATGACCCTAAGGATCCATCGAGGTTCTTAATTTAATATAATGATCCTAGGCAACCATCGTGGTTCTATATTTAAGATTATGAATCATTGAGTGATCATAATTTTTCATAATCTTTCCACTGAGAAAGCACCTCCGTTCATGTGCACAAGCCTCCGATATTTGAGGCCTCATGAGGTTTCTGATTTATTTTGTGTCAACTTCTTGAACTTGATTTTGGTTTCAAATCTACTAGATTGCTCAGACGAACACAAAAATTCTATACATTTAAAAAATACACACGTTGTCCCATTTATACTAGAATGAAGAGCACATTGCTTCATAATTCCAAAACTTCAGATTCATAGAATTAAAAAAAGTTAACAATTCTTAAATAAAAGGGGGAAATCTCTTAATTGGCAAACGACCGTATTGGGAAAGATTAGACCTACAGGGTGTCCCCCATTAAATTGGATCTTGCATAGTTTTAAATTACTATTTTCGGGGCTAATCAGAAATTTTAAGAGTAAAACATTAAAAGAAATTATATGAGCTCACGTAAAATTTGCAATGCAGAAAAAGTGTTTTCGAGTATTATGTGCGTATTTTTGACGTTAAAGCTTGGAGACAATCTAAATGATAGGGGGACGCCTTGTGGCTGTGGATCTTTGAATTCTTGAGTGGGGACCATCCACTCCACTCCACTCCACTCCACTCCACTCCACTCCACTCCACTCCACTCCACTCCACTCCACTCCACTCCACTCCACTCTCCAATCTCGGCTAAATCAAACCAAACCAATATCGACTAATCAAATCACGCATATGGCGCTTAACCACTTACAGACCAATTCCTCCCGCCATGTTGCAGCAAATTATAAACTTGAATCCAGATTTGGAAGATAAACAATCTTTTTATATCTTCCTCCGCGCATTTCTACCATTATAAATTCGCTGTGCTCACCTGTTAAAGACAAAAAATTGCAATTTCGAAAAATTAGAGCTTAGAATAAAAAAATCAAAGCTACAAAATTAAAGCTATATAGATCTAACATTAAATTGGATACAGCATGCCAAAAAGAACTGAACAATAACAAGAATTAGAATTTAAATATCTAAGCGCTTAAATAGTAGAAAATGATCTTTTAAAACAATATCCCAGAATATATTTTAATAAACAATAAAGCTGAAAAATTTTAAAAAAGATCCTAATCGTAAACAAGCAAAGCATTCAAAATTAGAACGGATTAAAGACAGAAAGGGCAATGTGTGAATATCAGAAAGTGTAAGCTATTATGTTTTGGGCAGTGCTTAGGATCAGTTGATTTAGATACAGATCTGGCATAGAAAATATTTATCTAGAACCTCAAAATAAAATTTTTATGCTGAAGTGCTTTTTAAAACTGGGTCTTTACTATACTTGACACCCCGGGTGAAAAAATCAAAGTTAGTCTTAATAAAATTTTTGGTTCAAAGATTTTTTTGATTTTCTATGAGATTTTTTGCTACTTGGATCAACGGCATTTAGCCCCACTGAACATGCGAAATCCATGGTTTTAAGGCCCTAAATAGTGCTCAGTCCACCCTGGAAAAAAAAATTAAACCCCCCACCCGTTTGGACAAATTCCTGAATACGCCCCTGATCAACGGATTCGCTCATTCTTGCACAACTGGTATCAGCAAGGCAATGAGGTCACGAATCCGGACCCTAAGCACTAGGAAGTAAAAAAAAAATAAATAAGACCGAGATTTCTAAATTAATCATTTTCAGAGTAATGTAACAAAAACTGGTTAGATATCTAACAAGATCTATTTATCTCCCCACCTCTATCATTTCCTTTAGCCCTTGGTGAACGCGGAGGAACCGGAGGTGGGATCCCTCGTGAACTCCGGCCGGTACTAGGCCGGTCACGTAGTACAGAGGGCAGGTAACAGGTACCCTCTGCTTCCGAATTAAGTGAAAGAAGACCAGCCTCCTCAGAGATTTCCCGACTTTCTGAGAGTAGAATGATGTAACATGAAACCAGTAAAACATAATACTGGAATGATCTTTTAACTCTTTTGAACAGAAACCCACATTAATAACACATAAAATAATATTAATGGTATGCAACTAACTAGCAGGGTACTTACCATCTTGCTGTACAGGTTTGGGAGTAGGAAGAGAACTATGGTTTTGTCCACTACTTGATCCCTTTCCCTTTATGGACTTGGTCCGCTTACTGGGAGAATGCTTCAATGCTGAAATTTTAAATAAGGTTAGTCTCAAGAACTCCCATTTTAACTTAGAATGTCCAATAAAACAAATAAAACCCAAAACCCCCAATTAACCCGTAAATGATCCTTAATAAAAAAGTAACGCCCGAACCCCTAGAATGAAAATAATATTTTAAGCTGGATAAAATAATGAAAAGTTCACACAGACATTGAGATTTATGTGCAAAGGATTTACCATTTAACCAACAACTCAAGCAAGGGTTTAAGCAGAAGGTACTGTTGTTTTAATTATAAGTGACCCTCCATTATAAAAGAGAGGTATGTCTGATTCACACCGGTACCCTTGAAGTTGAAATCTTACTCTGTTCAAAAATGAGGCAGATAACGTTATGTGTTAAATTTCTTCTTTTTTGAAGCAAAAAATCCGCATGTCACTTTTGCAGAAACAACAAACGAAAAAAACAGTTTACAAAAACAAAAACATGGAGATCTATTTTAAACTTAATCGGACATAGGTTTTTATGGTACATTTGTAAAACGGATATAACACATCAATGGAGGGGCACTTGAAATTACATTTTAAAGCCACTTTCAGTGAATCATAGTTCTCACAGTTTTTCTTATTTACATTTTGAAAATGTAATGTTTACATATGGTTTTAAGAAAGATATCTTGGATCAATATAGCATGGTATAAGTCTGTAGATTGGTCAGTTGGAAACAAGCTGTTATAGAGTGTGAAGTTTTGCAAACATTTATATGGAACTCTAATTTTTTAATTAAATGAACAACTTTTCAAGTCTTTGCAGAATCAATTTTCTTTTGGAACACATTCCCTCCATGTAAACGTAAATAAAATACTAATTATGGTGAGTCACGAGTTGATGTATTTAGATAATTTAAAAAATTTATTTTTAAGTATTAAAATAATTGTTTAGTAGTAATCAAAGAATTGATTACGGCATGCATTGATAATGTTGTGTTGTTAAGACATCGAGTTATAATATCATGCTGATATATTAAATAATTTAGTAAGTCCTGAAATATTTACTTGAACACAAACTGCACTATCTTACCTGAAGAACCTAATAAATAACTATGAAAAACCACAGAAAAAGCATGCAAAAAAATCATTCTTTAGCAGACAGCCCAATCAGTATTTTATTAAAGTGACTGTACGCGTAATTTCCAGTGACCTTTCATTTACAGATAAGCATTCACAATGGTACCCTTTAAACCTTTTAATCTACTGAACCGCCTTTAATTGCTGAACACCTTGTTTGTTAGATACAGTGAATTCTAGATATATGAATACATAGCTGAGGTTTTTATAATGTCGTATTACATATTTAATATCAAATGCCGTGGAAAAATGAGTGTAATATGAAATATGAATGCAATTGATTAATTAATATTAAACTCATTTTTCCACGGCATTTGATCTTAAATATGTAATACGACATTATAAAAAACTCTTGCTATGTATTCATATATCTGGGATTTACTGTATTATAAATTCAATTTGTTACTTTTAAAATGTCAGAGAATAAAAATCTACTTTTGAATGTTGAAAACGATGTTAACGTACAGTTCATCTACTTTCGAGTTCAGACTGTACACAACGTGTAGTCGTGTTTTAAGGGAATTCAAGCAGGTTTACAAATGTTTAAAAAGAAAATTGTCTGTCTATAATCGATGAACAGTCAAAGGTTACAAAGGGTACTGTTGTGAATTGGGCATTGCCCTCTTTGGATGAAGGGCCACTTGAAAATGGGCATACGGGTCCTTTAATTAGATTCAAACAAGATGATTGAATGAAGGGCCATCTTATAAACCTGAAGTCATGCGTAACTATTATATATAATTCCTGACACTGGAATCATAGTCAACTGTGTTTTATAAAGTTTATGTAACTCAACAAACAACTATCCATGTTTTTCTTCAAGAAATCAGCAATGGCTGTGCGGTCACCTCTCAAATTAAATACATTTTTTAACAGGGATAACATGGAAAATCATTAAATATATGGATGGTTGTTTGTTAAAACAATACGAGACAGTTGAATAAATAAACTGAAAGAATTAAATCGGCCAGGAGGAGGCACGCAAAAAGCTTTTCACCAGATCATATACTGTGCCTCATTTATATCCTAAGTCTAGATTTCTTAAGGAATTAAATACACGTTTAAGGGGTAAACAGATGCGGTCTACTCATCTGCTGTTTGATTATTTGCCAGAAAATGACCTTGAGGTCGTCTTTGGCTAAACTAATATTTGTGTGTGACATCTATAGATCAACTTAATTACCATCTATTGAAGATGTTTCTCAAAACTTGGATGGGTTTTAAGTGTCCACTTAGTTAAACATGTGCAGTATTTTGGGTCCCATGATAAACTTTATAGATAAAACTTACATGTTAGATCCAAGGTTTTTATGTTTTAATGTAATTGCTGCACAAATTAAGGTGTCATTTTATTGTTAAAACTCATGGCTTGGTTAAGATCACTAAAATAGTTAAACGTATTCTCTGATTTAACTCGCTGATCTCTGAGGCAAAAGAAAAACTTTTGAACTAGCTGAACTACTTTTTTGTTATAGATATCACAGCCTTTTCTAGTGATGAAGATTGTGTGCTTAAAACAATGGTCTTGACATTTACATATTAAAAGCATTGGTTCTAAAAATGCCTAAAATTTTTTAATTATACCTTCCAAGGCAAAAAAAAGCCATTTGTTCTGACAATTTCAAATATCAATCTGCCCTAGTTAAGCAGTTGCAAAATGATTCTAGATTGTCTATCTGATTAAAGTATCTGTGTTTTTGTTGTAATTCATGAGTTGTTAGTGCTTGATCAATGGCTAATATCATGTTTATAGAATTCCATCCAAATTCAAAGCACAATTTGTGATTGTACGAGGGCCATGCTAGCACATTGATTAAGGTATCAGTCTTGTGATGCTTTGAAGGATGTAAGCTTAACTATTTAATACATTAATTTCAGGACATCAGGGAAAATGTTAGGATGTGTTTAAGGGCTGAGCAGGCATCGTGCAGAAATCTGGAGACTTTTTTGGGGGTAAAAAAAATAATAATAATTTTTTTTATTAAAATAAGCTGTGTTTATCTAATAATCCTATTTAGTTGCTTGCTAGTCCTGATGAGGATGTTGATGCCTATTTAGATCTCTACCACAATATAACCTGAACTGTGGCACAGTATATATGGTGGTGGGGCCTACCTATCAAACTGGCCACCACAAGTCGAAACTTCCTGTGGTTTCCTTTCACTTCCGGTAAGTCCACTGTTAAAACATCCAGGTATAATGTAGATGGTTAAACCAAAGAAGTCTTTGATACCATAACCTCGTCAGGATTATCCATTTAAGTCAGTTGTTAGAAAATTGTATCAGGGAAAAAAAGGATAGAAAGGAAGAAGACTGAAAGGTTACAAGAGGAAAAGTTATGTTAAAGACCATGAAAACAGATTTCAGACTTTTTATCATCTTTCTAAAACATAAATTTTCCTTCAAGGGTTACAGACATAAGAGTTCGGTTAAGGGAAAGGGCATGTATAGAGAAAGACAAGGGGGTGATTGGATAAAGGTAGGAAGAGATAAAAATGCTGTAGGCCATACTTACATCCTATCATAACAATTTTTACACAATCAGTTTTTTTTGTGACCTTAAAAGACCCATTAGAAAGTATTTGACAGAAATTTAATGAAAATTCCAAAGGGTGAAAAAAGAAAGAAAGTCAGGCGGAAATATTAGATCATTATAAATGGAATTCTACCAAACAAAGCTAATCCCTTTTACCATGTTAAGAAAACAGCAAGGTCTGCTTTATTTCCTCTACCATTTCCGTTTTCGAGGCGTTAAAGGAAGTGTTCACGAAAAATGAAAGGGCGTATAGGCTTACGTCGAAAAATTATCGATGGTGATTGCTACTAATCTTACTTCTATCTGTTGCGTTTATAAGAAGAAAATTACGACTCATCCCAAAGAACAGTGTCCATACAAATTCAGAAAGTTTCATTATACGACTAGGATCGTAAAAAAAATCAATTTAATTTCGAACAAATCATTCAAATATGACAACCTATAATCATCGATAATTTTCAACGCATTTGTAAACAGTTAATTTCAAAATATTTTTTATGATCTCAGAGTTACTTTTGAAAATCCGGTTTCAAGGATTTTTGATGATGAAGGCGACATTTTCATATTTTCCAAGAATGTTCGAAAATCCACCGCCAGCCGTGAAAACAAGTTATAAGCAAAATATTATTAAAAAAATCTTGTATATTATACTATGCAATATTAACTATATACGAATGCGTCGAAAAATTATTGATAATTATAGGTTGTAATATCTGAATGATTTTTTTGGAATTAAATAGATTTTGTTTACGATCCGAGTCGAATTTTGCAACTATCTGAATTTGTATGAACGCTACGTTCTTCGATGTGAGTTGTTTTAAACAATTTTCTCCTTATAGATGCAACAGATAGAAGTAATAGTCGTAGCGATCACCATTGATAATTTTTCGACGTAAGCCTATACCCCATTTCATTTTTCGCGAACACTCCCTTTAAGTCAAATTTTGAAATTGTCCATTAGGTTACGTATACATAAAATCTTTAAGATCTACAAAGAATGTATTTGTAAAACATCTAGATATTAGTAATTAATGTTTCTCTACACAATGCTAGCATTGTGTAAATTGTCAACACACATTCAAACTGCAGTACACGTCTACATAGTCTGTTAGTATACAATTAGTAACATATGGTTAAGATACTAAAGTCTTAAGGCTCTTAAAACACACACATGACAATTTAAAAAAAACCTATTTGAACCATTCTTTTTATGTTTAAGGCTTTTAAATATCATTTAGTAAAGCAGAGTAGAAGCTGAATATTTAAAAAAATCAGCCTAGAAGCCGGAGATTAGTGAGAAGTCGTCATATTTAAACAGTGAGTTAGGAAACAACAATGAAGAAGAAAAATCTATGAAAATACTCACATGAGGGAATCTTCCTGAAGACCTTCCCGGCCATAAAGTTCATAAACCTCTCGGCGTAAAACCCTGGCCTGTGCACCGACACGGTGTCCTAAAGTACCCAGTTCAAATTTTTTCTTCAATAATTACTTCAAAAACTAAACTGAAAAACGTTTTGGAAAACTTAAGTTAGTCAGAGGCCGAATTTACAGAATTTTATTGCGTCACTGAACCGCCAAAAACCGGTTCCAATTGAGCACCGGCTCAAGTCTCGAAACACTGAATACAATTTCAAGTGGAACCAACCATGTTTGAGCCGCGTTTCAAATTCAAGACGCGGCTTTAATTCTTTAAATTCGGCCTCTGGACTTTTTCCGGCCTTGAAACTTTCGAAGACAGCTTTTAATGCATTTAATGTAAATAGGTGTTTACAGTGCATATAAGAAGAGCTTGTACACTATCAAATCAGACCATAAGGATCATCAGGAAATGATATCACTAATAAAGATCCCAAGACGACCACCAGGAGAGGTGACCAATATCCCCTGATCATTCCAGTCCATATTTAGTGTTAACTTACCCCGTCATGGATCATGGCCTTAAATGTGTGCTCCAACTTCTTCCTCAGCCTGTAGGATTGCAGGATGTCGATGAGACCAAGGAAGATCAAGAGGCGCTCCCCCTTGTGGTTCCTAGCAGGTATACCTCCCGACCTAACAAAACAATCAAAGAATAAACAAATAAAAAACTATAATGAAATCAATCAATCAAATAATTAATGCAGCAATCTATCAATCAATCAAATATTTAATTAATCAATGAATGAACAAGTGATAAATAGTTGCAATTAACATAAATCGAACAATTTAATCAATCAATCAAACCAGACATTTTTAACACTTACGGAAGTTCTGTAGGTATATCAACAGGATCACTTGTTGCTTGAATACTCTCCATGGCTGTACTGTGCGCTACCAGCTTCTGACGCTGTAAATTTTTTCCTCCTTCACCTCCCCCTCCACCTCCTTCTGATGGCGAGGCGACACCTTCGCTACGCTCGCGCGCAGCCACGTCCAAGTTGTGCACACCGACTAGGAAACAAAATATAAACATTGCAGAACGGTACACAGTAATAAAAAAGTGTATATCTGAAGCAAATAATATTTCCCTCGATAATCGTTAATCCTCCTTTAAAGGGACAGACCGGCTAAGTAAGGTTGTTAAACTGAGTATGCACTATGCAGTGTTGTGAAAAGCTTCTTTAGGATTCATTTCAGACATATAAAACTTTTTAAAGATCTGTAAATCCTGAGTTTGAGCACAAATTCGACGTTCAAAACTCCTATTTTGGGGGTGGATACGTTTTCAGAATCGGTATTTTTAAAATTATTAAATAACGACGACGAAAAATAAAGTAAAAACTAATTACAGTAATCTAATTAGATAAATCAATGATAAAATCAATTATTTCGTTTTCATCTATATATTGAATTTCTTATTTTCTTTCAATTTATTCGCAGATTTCTTCAAATTCTTCAAATGTCGTCTTTTCAATAATAATTCCAGAAAATCTGCAGAAAATCTTTGTGAATAATGAGAAACCAGTATAATGAGAAAATAGAAACTAATAATTAAACAAGATTACTTAATACTTATTTTCGATGATAAGATTAACTTTTATTTTCTCAACCTGTTCCTAAGCAACTTATCAGTTTACTGTAGAATTTTTCATACATTTTATGTCGTCGTTATTGAATCATTAAAAAAAAGTGAGAGAATTAATAAATTAAAATCAAATTCGTAGAAAACAAATAAATTAATGAATATGAAAAATTAAAGATAAAAGCTTCCCTATTTTCAGGAGACTATTTTAAATAAATATTTATATCAATTTTACTTGATGGAAAAAAATGAAGAAAACATTTTTGTCATGTCATAGAACTCTCCGAATATCTGGTTCCGACTAAGTAATTAAAAACTAAACTAACCAAGAAGGGAGTAATCCATAATCTTGAAAGACTCCAAGACCCTGCAGTCCCTTCTCATCGTAGACATCAGGGCGGTGTAGGTCTCAGCTTCTACAATTTAAAGATGTCAACATAAAAATAAGTGACGATTTAAACATTAAAATCAATATTTCCGAAAAACATTAGTGTGGATAGCAGCTATATCTTGAAATTTCATTGCAGAAGAAATCCACGAGACGCTTTATAGAAAAGTGGCAATTGTATAATATTAGATTGTGATGGCACTTTTGAAGGGTACAAAATTACTTTGACATTATCTTTAACTTTGTACAGTTTACAGAATTCTTAAATCTGTGAACCAGGCATGATTGCATGGTTTACAATGGACATATTGTAGATACAGTAGGACAGTTGATGCAATCCCAGGGGTATATATTTGAACCCGGGAACAAGTACTTGTTATATATCTATTTATATACCATGCCAAGTCTAGAAAGATTCCATTATCGTATTTGAGAAAGTTAGTATGAATTCTGACAAGGGCGAGCTGGGCAAATGCACCAGCGGAAGAGGCAACGGTATCTACCCCAGGATGGAGAGGGATCTGCCATATTGGATCCCACATAAGATCATTTATCATCAAGAATCGGAAAGAGGTTCATACATTCGACACTGGAGACGAATACAAGATGGAATAAGTTAAATCAATATCGTTTATATATTTTTGAATCTGTAAATACAGTTTGGTGTACAAATGTCAACTCAGTCTAGACCGTTTACTTTAAGTCTATATTAGGAAAGATTTCTTGGATCAATTGTTTACTAATTCATTATACCGCATTTAGACATTACAGACCTATGATTCCCAAACATAGTGATCGATCCAAGTTAAGTTACTGAACGTCCCTTGGGACAATTGTGTTGAACTACTTTTTCTGGAAAATAAAATTTTTACTTAATTAACCACGAGTTCCCTCGACCAATTTTTTTTTGGGAACCCTTAGTTTAAGTTAGGAAAAATTCCCTTTTAAGTATATGTCAATAATTATATTTAACATACCTAGGAGAATACCCTCAGGAAGTAACTCACTAAAATCAAGATCTTTGTACGTCGGGGAACTTTTACTCCTTTCATGCTTAGAGGCCTGAACAAATACAATGAAAAATATATAATTATATAAAATATACAGGGTGAGTCAAAAAAGCGTGATTAGCGGCGCCTGGTGTAAAATTGTTTGAGCAGCTCTCCTGTATGGCGTTTTTTCAATATTTTTTGAAAATTTTAATTTTTTTGACATTCCAAGGGCCAAATAAAAATCCGCGAACCTTTATTCTCTCAAAATCAAAAGTTCAGAAAAGCAAAAACACTCTCAACCCAACATCTTGTTAGGAAAATGTAGAAAGATGTGTGAGACTCTTTGTTGGGGATTTTAAGTGTACAGGGTAACCCACAAAGAATAGGACTGTAAAGACAATTTGAAACAAAAAGTATTCCGTTAAGTCGTCCCTGAAGTCCTATCCTACGTGGGTTACCGTGTATCTTATTGATATTCATTATGGGAGATATTAGTGTATGTCAATGAAGATGTAAATTGTAAAGTCGTCACTGAAGTCCTATCCTACCTGGGTTACCGTGTATCTTATTGATATTAATAATGGGAGATATTAGTGTGTGTCAAGGAAGATGTAAATTGTAAAGTCGTCACTGAAGTCCTATCCTACCTGGGTTACCCTGTATCTTATTGATATTAATAATGGGAGATATTAGTGTATGTCAATGAAGATGTAAATTGTAAAGTCGTCACTGAAGTCCTATCCTACGTGGGTTACCCTGTATATTATTGATATTCATTATGGGAGATATTAGTGTATGTCAAGGAAGATGTAAATTGTAAGGCATCAGAACCATTTTAATCTTTTCAAATTACTGAATGTCCTAACCGCAGCGCTCGGCCACCGACCAAACCGTTAGTTTTCAGTATTTTAGGTAACATTTAACCTATCTAGAATGGAGTAGCGTAATATCTTTGAAATCTAATAAAATATAATTTGGGTAAATATTCCCAAAAAAACAATAAAAACATTTTAGTTGAAAAAAACCCACATAAATACTTACTTTTCGTTTGTACGTGGATCCTTTAAGATCAAATTTTAAATGCATCTTGACACAAGAAGGGAGAAGGTTATTCATCACTAAACAACGAACAGTTAACACTTTACAGTCATAAATAAATATCACAAATCACTTTAAACCGCAAATATATATTGGAATTTTGTTACTATTACATATTACATATAAACCCTTTTTTCGTAAAAATAAAGTTAATTATTTTTTTAAAGAAAACATTTACACCTTAACCTTTTTATAGGGGTACAGGGTACACAACATATTTAAGAATTTTTCGGAAATATCCAAAAGTTTAAAAGCCTAGTGGTGAAAATTTAAAATTGAACTTTTAACCTATTTTTTGAGTAGTTTTTTCCCCAAATATAAAAAAGACGGGTAAAGGGGTACAAAAAAGATTTTCCAAAATAAATGATGAAAAACTGTTTTTGTTCCTATGAGTCTGATATTTTTCTGGTTGCACTGGTAACAGAACATTCCAAAAAACTTAGGAAGAAGGGTGTGCGGGTTCTAAAACATAATCAATCAATCAATCAATCAACCAATCAATCAACCAATCAATCAACCAACCAACCAACAAACCAACCAACCAACCAACCATCTGTCATGCGTAAATTAAAATATTTATAATTCTTTTTCAGTAAACCTTAATTTTTTTTTTACTTTTAAAAGCAAAAACTTATCATACAAGAAACTTTAAACCAAAATTGGGACATGGGAACTTTACATATTGCGCATTTTACGCTAATTCTAAGGTTTATCTGAAATTTTTTTTAAGTATTAAGGTAAAAAGTTTCAGAATCAATAATTTTTTAAGCTGAGGGGAGGGGGGGNTTCAGCTTTCTCATACATTTAAGTTTTCATTTAATTTGCTCTTTTATTCAGAGCTCAAGGTTAAACTTGTTAAACAAGGTTTCAGTGATGTAAATCCAGCGTCAAATGTAAGAAATAATTTCTGCAGTGTTCGGGTATTCAGAAAATTGAACTTGATTCCAACTGACATCAAATAATTTTCTACTGTGATTAGCTTCAAAAGAAGATACGAGTATAGAAAGAATCCACGAGCTACTTTAAGAGATATTAAATATGATGAAAAAACAAACCAGTGGCCAAATTTAAAGAATTTGAGCCGCGGCTTACTCAAATATAGTTGTTTTAAAACTGTATTCCATGTTTCAAGATTTAAGCCGGCGCTTAATTAAAATCGGGTTTTGGGGGTTTTGAGACGCGGCTTAAATTCATTAAATTCGGACACAGAACAAACAATCATCAACTCTCAAGTCAACAAAATCATCCTCATACAAATTTTATTCGAGTTTCTGAGGACTTATTAACAATCCCTTTAAGTAGTTAAACCTGTTGAAGATTCATATAGTATCCGGCCAGTAGTTTCTGTAGGAATTCTGCTTCTTTATACATTACAGTCTTCAGGATAAATTCATCATCTCGAGTCAAATAGAATATAGATCCGCTAGCTCCAGGGTTAGACAACTCACTACAAATATAAACAAATAGAAGATAGATAGATAGATAGCTCCAGGGTTAGACAACTCACTACAAATATAAACAAATAGAAGAGATATAGATAGATAGCTCCAGGAATAAATTTGCCAGAGGGTTTTAGGGTACCTTTGTGAATCTGACCTGCAACTATATAAATGGAAGGTTTTAGGGTACCTTTGTGAATCTGACCTGCAACTATATAAATGGAAGGTTTTAGGGTACCTTTATGAATCTGACCTGCAACTATATAAATGGAAGGTTTTGTTACTTATATTTTTCCCCATAAACGATTTGGACGCGAGGTCAAAAAACATAAGGATACACAGACAGCGCCTAATAATAATTTTTTAAAAAAGATTTTCAGTTTACACCCTTATTTTAATCAATTTTAACCAAAATAGTAAATATTTTCCATGACGACGGCATACTTCATTTTAAAATACTAAGCATCGTCATTCATCAAAGATGATTTTAATATTCTCATCTAAATCCCATGTTTTCAAGGGACAACACGATGGGGGAGTATATAAAGTGGATTTACCGCATAGGTTCATTGCAGATAGACATCATGAAGTCGTCAGCTTTAATCCCGAACAGGTCCCTGAAGTATCTGAAAGCCACGGGCGCACAAGTTCTAGAAAGAGTATTTTTTAAAATTTGTTCTTACTTAAAGAACGTAAACAAACTAGTTATTTCAACTATAGCACTTTTTTAAAATTGCAAACTCTCTGAACACCCATGCATAATGTTCTAAGCTAGTTTTGAATTTACAGTCCGGGAAAATGCAACTATAATATTAAGAATAAATCCGACTATGCTCTTTACCAATAAGAGGTCGATTAATTTCTCAGAGAATGAATGTCCAATCGTTACCTGAATGTTAAGTCTGAGAATGAATGTCTGGGTATAGTTGGACCCCCCCTCCCCCCCTCCAATAGTTACCTGAATGTAAAGTCTGAGAATGAATGTCTGGGTGTGGTTGGACCTCCTCCTTTAGGAAACTGAATTGTCTCAACCTTCATAAAATCTTGCATCAACAAATCCCTAAAAATAGAAACGTTAGTCGAATATTTATTTATCTTTTTAAACAAAATTGCAGGAATTATTCCTGGTCGATGTATCTTTTAAAATAAAGCATGAATTAAAAGTTCCAAAAATAATTCAAAACAATTGCTTTTTGGTCTCCTTGTTGTTATTATTATCATTATATGATCCTGCATTCAATGAAGACATGGTTAGAGTTTCTCGACACCGAAACACGTTATTTAGCGAGACCTCCGATACTGTCATGGATACCAAGCTGTATAGACGCCATCAGTTGGTTCGTTTCAATCTTCTTATACGAGACCTACACAAACAATATGGTTAAATGTTAATCCTTCTGGTTTGTTCCTACATTTCAAAATTTACTTTTATCAATACTTTTTTATCCTGAGAGAAAACATAATGGATGACCTAACCAAAATAATGATATTTTTTCCAGGGGGCATTCGGTCGCCAATGGGGAAATAGCTCCCCCCCCCCCACGATTGCAAAATCTCCGTGTCCACTGTGGACACTTTTGATTTTCAACTAAATCCTCTCTTTTGGATGTCCCAGCTTTTTCTGACCAATGAAAATTCTCTAATTGATTGCTCGTCAAAATTTTGAAATTTATTGGCTGTTGAGTTTCATACAATCAACACTCTGATTGGTTGCAGTTTAGAAAATTTCCCGGTTATTAACGCAAAATTTAAAGTTAGTCTGAAGATTAATAAAAAGAGGAGATTAAGCAGTGATCTCGATATCCACAATTCTAAAGTTTTCAGTCTAAGACACATAACTGTAAATGCCCCCCACCATNCCCCAGGTAATATCAAAACAACAATTGTTTTACCCAATTAATTTAAATAATATTTTTATGATTAAACTGGATAAAGCATGAACATTCTCAATTTCTTACTAAAAAAAAATTATTTTGTTGTACACCAAAGCAAAATGTAATAGTATTATATTTTCCAATATTATCGAAGATGAAGCAGAGGGAAATAATAATTCTTGAGAATGTAAATTTCCTAGAATAATAACAATACATTCTTAACCTCTGAAAATGCTACGTTTGGCTGTTTGATGCTGATATTAGCTTGGCTTATTTGGATGAAAAATATGAAAATGCAAAACTATTGAATAATTATTTAAAGAGAGACTTGCCTATCAACATGACAGGAATCTACAGGAGGGATGGGGAGGCAGAATCATTGCTCTCTTCCCCCCCCCCCCAACCAAACATTAAGGGTTAAAAAAGGGTTATAAAACAGTATTATTTTTTAAATCCAACCTGTCCTTCTTCGTTGATCCTTCTGTGTCCTATTTTCCGATCCTTTTCACTGACGGACAACGTCTTCCCGTGCCCCTTCCTCCTGCGCCTCTCTTCGTCCTCCTCCCCCTCCTCCTCCTTCTCCAACTCCTCCTTCTCAACCTGCTTCTCCATCTCACCAGTATTGTTCAACTAGGAAACAGAAAATATATTTTTATTACAAAGAATAATCTGCGATGCATGTTTGTAATATGTTTGTCAAATATTCGTCCTTATTATATTTTAGCATAAATATTTTTTCAAGGATTTAAAATATTTTAACATAATTGGCAAAATATTATTTTGGAAATAATATTCAACTTTTTCTCTGGAAAACAAATCTCTTTTAATACGGCGGGAAAATGTTTAATTTATTGAATCAAAAATTTTAAGATTAATAATTTAGTTTTGACTAGTGGAATTCTTTTTAGCTTCTCAATCTTCATTAGAACATCGTATCTGTTAAACTAAAAATGCACTTAAAATTTTTTTTCACTAAAACCCTGCAAATGTTCTTTTCCATCTGTTCTTTTTTCCTTTTCAAAGAAAATTGCTTACAAAGAAACCAAATTCGATAAATATTTATTTTTTGTTAATATTTTAGAAATAATTTTTTCTTACTTGAGCTGTCATGCTTAATTCACTGTATTCTCACCGGGCAGTGTACAGCCATACTTTCTGAAATATATTTCACATTATTTCACATCCAACAGTTTTAATATTTAATCACGTGACAATTTCAATAGCCTACTTCTGAAAAATCTCTTCATTTCCTCGGACCATTTTCTCTGAAAGTAATAATCTCTAAGTCTAAACTGTATGAACTGCTCATGTACAGTCGTGTTGTACACTGATAATTTCAACCATTGCAAAGCTCTGTGCGTACTGCGCATATTTTGATATAAAAAAAATCTTGAGCTGATTTTTTCCCCGCAGAACTTTTGACTGTATTGCAATTAAGCAGCTCCTGGTATTACTGCTGCTACTGATGTTGCTGATCTAAGCTAATTGAACGAAAGCTCCCATATCTGAGTCTGAAGAGTTGAGTTTCTCAAAATATTCTCTTTCAATATTTTCACAGAGCTTGACTAAATTCCCAAACTGTTGAATTATTGCCTAAAAAAAATCAGAAGAAGTTACTTGGCATAAAAACAATTTCACATAACTTACAACAAATTATAAATGCTTTTCCATGACAAAAAAAATGACGAAAACCCTCTAGAAAACCCGCAAAGAACAATGCCACCAAAAAATACAATAACAACAGAAGGAATGAACAAGAAAAAAGTAAGAACAACAATATAAAGACACATCACAAACATGCAAGCACAAAAGTTACAATGAAAAGAAGGAATGAACAAGTAAAAAACTAAAAATAACAGCATGAAGACACATCAGAAACATGAAAGTACAAAAATTACAATGAACACAAGGAATGAACAAAAAAACTAAAAATAACAGCATGAAGACACATCACAAACATGAAAGTACAAAAATTACAATAAACACAAGGAATGAACAAGTAAAAAACTAAAAACAACATGAAGACACATCATAAACATAGAAGTACAAAAATTACAATAAACACAAGGAATGAACAAGTAAAAAACTAAAAACAACATGAAGACACATCACAAACATGGAAGCACAAAAATTACAATGAAAACATGAAGAGCCATCATGGACATGCAAGTACAAAATTAAATGACTAAAACAACAATAACAACAGAAGTTACTTCGTAAAAAAAAATGCGAACAGTATAACAAGAAAGGCAAGGGAAATCTTTTTTTCATAACTTTTTGATGGACTTTGTCTTTTAATCTATTTTTACCGATATTCTTCACTTTCCCTATCAGACCAAAATAAGAGATGAAAATATAAAAAAAAACGATTTTTAAAGGTAGTGTCTGGCTATATATGCTGATGTTAGGTACTTTCCCAAAGAATTTTTCCTGAGTGGCAATTTCCCAAATGTGCAAATTACCAAGCAGCAACTTCCCAAGTATGTCCTAGCCGCAGCAATCGGCCCCCCAGCTTGGTATAGCCGCAGCCCTCTCGCCCATCCTAGCCGCAGCGCTCGGCCTCCCCCTTTGCAGCATGCGGTGCCTCAGAGGGCCTAACCTAACCTTTGGGAAGTTGCCGCTTGGGAAGTTGCCGCTTGGGAAGTTGTACTTTTGGGAAGTTGCCACTTGGGAAATTGTCACTTTGGAATAAAATGCCTTTGAGTATAGAGTATTGTAGACAATTTTTTAATGATTCATTTGAGACCTTTCAGACGTTTTTACAGTGCAGATTTGTTCAGCAAGAGCGCAAATTCAACCTTTAAAATCTTCATTGATGGTCCATTTTGGAAGGATGATTTTGAGAATGAATGTCTCAAATGAATCCTAAAAGATTTCTCTACAATACAGCATTCTCAGCTCAACTACCAAATTGTTTGTTATTGTTTTACCTTGAGCCTATTATCAGGTAGAGGGGTTGTGAGGATTGTGAAAAGATGACCGAAAACAATAGCATCTGTTTCAACACAGTTTTCAAATATTTTTACATGAAATAATGATCTTTTATTAAACCTTAAACCTTAAAGACGGGGGGGGGGGAGTTCTGCACCTCCCCCCCCCTAGAAAAGGTCTTAGAGTAGCATTAGACCATTTAAACATCCCATTTTCAGGATCTGTAGACGAATAGACCCTTTATTATTGTTTAGCTTGTCAGATTCACAAGCTTTGTCTAATCAAGTATAAATTATATATAAAAGTTTTTAATTTTGAAAACTCGTTATTTCCAATTGTGGTTTCTCTACAAAAGCGATATGCGCATATCTGCTGCAGAAAAACAATGTGAAAATTATCCTAATAAAACATTTTTTTTAATTAGAAAAAAGACATCATCTTTTACATTGATCAGGGAGTTCAAGAGTACTGTTGTGAATTAGGCATGTCCTATATCGAATAGAAACCCGATTGTTCTTATTTATGTATACCCTTGTGTTTACATACAAGAATCAACGTTATTTCATCAAATTGATTTTTTTTAAACCTCTTGTTCTTATTTTGTATTTATTTATAAATTTGTTTAAATCTCGGGCACTGTCTTCAGTAGTTTACATACAAGAATCAATGTAGTTTCATTAAATTGATTTTTTTAAAACCTCTTGTTCGTAATTTGTTTTGATTTATAAATTTGTTTTAATCACAGGCACTGTCTTCAGTAGTTTACATACAAAATCACTGTTATTTCATCAAATTGATTTTTTTAAAACCTCTGGTTCTTATTTTGTATTTATTAATAAATTTGTTTTAATCACAGGCACTGTCTTCAGTAGTTTACATACAAAATCACTGTTATTTCACTAAATTAATTTCTGAAAAACCTCTTGTTCTTATTTTGTATTTATTTATGAATTTCATTTAATCAGTGTTTACATAAAAGAATTACTGTTATTTGACTAAATTAATTTTCTGTTATAAACCTCTTGTTCTTATTTGGTATTTATTTATAAATTTGATTTAATCACAGGCACTGTCTTCAGTAGTTTACATACAAGAATCACTGTTATTTCATCAAATTGATTTTTTTAAACCTCTTGCTCTTATTTTGTTTTAATTTATAAATTTGATTTAATCACAGGCACTGTCTTCAGTGTTTAACATACAAGAATCAATGTTATTTCATCAAATTGATTTTTAAAAACCTTATGCTCTTATT